ACACACACACACACACACATATATATATATGGACGCGTAATGATCACGTGATTGTGTCAGCGAGGGCTTTCCATACAGGTGAGCCGCGCGAGGAGCTCCGTGTGGAGATGAGGTGTGTGCGCGCGCTGCGCTCATACACTACTCCAACAGAACCGAACTTAGAGGGGCTTCTTTCATCAGCTCCCGGTTGAGTTATGGTGCCACAGAACAGAACAACGGCCTCGGCGCCTGCTGTGGGGGCCGGTCCGTGGGGGTGGGAGGTGGCATGCCTCGTTGCCCGCCCCTCACCTTCCCCCCACCCGAGCAGAGGCGGGATGTTTACTCTGGATCGTCCTTGGAGAAGTCAGACACGCCGCAAAAATTCACCCAGCCGCGACACGCCTCCGCCGTGTCCCTCCGCGCATTCCACAGGCTGGTAGCGGAAAGTAGAGCCACCGACGGAGCAACGGTGAATTAATCAAATAAATGATGCTCCCACCTGTCGTGCCTTACTCAGGAATTTTATGATACATTTAACTGTCGCTTGATGGAGAAACTATTACATTTATATAGATATATATTTCTAAAGTTTGACTCAAATAAAAATAAAAGTAACATAAAATCTCTGGATCAATAAATTGCTAAAATAGCTGTCTTTTTCTGTATGAAATGTAATGATTAAAATATACACATTGCTTTATGTATATCTTAATTTATTGTACTTTAGTTTGTTCTGTTTATGGACAAGTGTGTTGGAAATAAAAGTAAAACTAAAGAAATACACAATAAAATTTTAAGAAAAAATGTAATAAATAATTAGTAATTATATCAGAAAACCGCATCATTTAAACATAATTGCTCCATAGATCCGTGTATATATATAAATTATACAGTGTGACTTTATTTTAAAAATGGTAAATAAAGAAACAAATTATAGTCTTGTAATAAAGTTTTGTCAGAAAATGTTATCAAAAACTAAAACATGTTTTGGGTGATTTAAAGTTAAGACAAATGTTCCATAATGTCTCCAAAACAAGATAAACAAACACTAAGTACCAACAAGTTGTTTTTTTATGTACAACCCAACATTAAATGGTACAATAAATCATATTTAAACTGTAACTTGTTTAAAAATAAAAAAAACTTTTACAAACTTATAAGTTTTTTTAAGATCTAAACTCTAAAAGGCTGTCTGTTCATTTATTCACACATCATCAACAAAGTATGAAATATTATAGTTCAACATGTTAGTTTAGGCAGTCTTTGGCTCCTTTTACTAAATGAACATTAAAAAACAGCACTCGGTGTGAATTTTGTCTTATTTACTGTTCGTGAACAGCTTATCAGTTATTATGTAACATTATTTTGTCTGTTTAAAGGACTGGGTCAAGAAATAATAGCTGAACTCATAGGATTTGTATGGTTTTTCACACTTTACCAGCTGCATAAATTACACTGAAGTCTTAAAAGTTTAATTTTTGACTAAATTTAGATTATTTTGAAAGGAAAAAAACACTCAACACAATGACTTTAAAGTTAAATTGCTGGTTAAGTAAAGCCCTCATGACTGTACCTGCTTCAGACTTTAGTAATGGCCCTAGGTAATTTCAAGTTAATTTARAGTGGCAGTTTAACCATTTTAAACTCAGCTAAGAGCTCCTGTAAAGCATCTAATGAGTGAGTTTTAAGTTCTTTAAGCACGAGTTCAGTGAAAAGCTGGCGTTACAACAGGTTGTTATAGTTTAATAAAGAATGTAATTAGTTTAAGTGCAGGTTTCAGAGTGGAGGGACATCCTCCTGGGGGTGGTGGTGGGGTTGTCTGCTAGAAAGGTGTCCCGGCCAGCTGGTGGGGGGACTGATAAAGGAACAATGCGCGTCAATTTAAATGCAACAACAACACGCGACGTAACGACCAGGCTGCCTTTTTTGTCTTTAAAAATAAAGGCACGTACGCTAGCAATTTCTCTAAAAAAATACACAACATCCCCAAGTCGGTGACGGTAAACTCAAATAGACATCTAATACACTGTTTTATAAGTGTGGCTAAGTAGTTTTCTAAAATATCTGCTTGAGCTTCCACGCGTTTTAAAGTTAAAATTGTCCRAGGGCTTTGATTTTGAAAAGCGAAAACCGGAACTGCCTCCCTCTGTTACAGCTAGCAGAAAAAAGAAAAAAGAGGGGGAGGTAAAGTTATTATTTCAGGGGGAAGAAAGAAAGGAACAAAGTTGTCGAGTGCGCGGTGCTCGCGGGGAAGGATTTTRTGGTTCGTTTCGTCCGGCACCGGGTTCCTTTGGGATGTTTAAGTAACGATTTCCCCGCCTCTTCGGCCTCTCCAAACTTCYCCGCTAACTATTCTTCCACCGACCGACCGAGTCACCCCGGACGGCTTTCCTCCTTTGAAAAACGCGAAATGATAAAGCGGTCGAGCCGAAGCGGATGGACGGGACGGACTGTGTGTTTTCTGTTGCTTTCTTTAAAAAGGTAATCTTGTTACTCTGAGCACACTTGATGAATGGCAGACATCGGGCTAATTCGGCTACAATTCGCGAACAAACGGGTGGTCTACCCTGGACCCACATGAAGTCTGGATCCTGCTGCTGAAAGAGACTGCTTTGTGTTTTTTTACTAGAAGAATACAGTCCGCACTGGATATTCAGACGACTCTAGTAGACTAAAATAGATGTGGAATCACCTGAGGGTCCACGAAAGGAAGCCCACCCCCCAAACACCCCCCACCCCACCACACGACCACGGTGTCTTG